TCCGAGGGCGCCGCTCTGCGCATGCCCCGCTGTGCGCGGTGCATGCTGGGAGCTGTAGTCCCCGTTCCCCCGCCACCCTGGGGCCAGGCCCTCAGACCCCGGCCTGGAGCAGCGGAGCCCGCCCTCACCGCCAGGTCTGTCGGCTCCATCTCTTTTCCAGTCAGAATCACAACCTCTCTCTTGCCTGGGTTGATGGAGGAGTTTTTAGTCCATCTTCACCCACAGCAGCCGGCTTGGGGTGCCTGGCGCAGGTGTCAGCAGCCCCGTTAGGCCCCTGTCCCTAATTGCTGCCATTCAAGTTCAAGTAGTTCAGAAGGGCGAGGTGTAAACTGAGACAGCGGCCGCTGACCTTTACCACCCCGCAACTGTTACATCCAACCTGCCAGCTTGGCCCGGTACGAAATGAATATAGCAGCGGGTGAAGCGAGGAGCTAAATTTGTGTCTTCAGACCGATAACCATCTTCAGTATTGAGACAGGGCAGGCGCTTCCTGACGGCCTCTTTGCACGGCTGACCTGGGCTGAAGACGTCCCATGGTTTGTAAAGCTCAGCACCGCTACCTTTCGATTGTGCGGAGGGGGACAGGGAGCAGGGCCGGGTGAACGGCAGTGTTAGTGCAGCTGAAATTAGGCTCAACTCAACAGAGCTCCACTTGGGCTGGAAAATAAGCTTGGAAGGTGCACCCAGGTGTGGGGACTGAGCTCAGCAAGGAGGGAGTTGTGGATGTTGATCTAACCCTTCGCTGCTTGAGCTGACCCCAGCTGCCTTGAACTTCATGCTGTGAGAACTTGTCCGTGTCTCTAAAGCGCTGTTGCTTTCTCCCTGCCTGGCTCAGCATGACCTTGCGATGGGGTTTATATATTTAGCTCTTCTAATTTGGTTGTCAAGGTGTGTATTTAACCTGCTCGTGTTCTTATTACTGATTCCTTTGGGCATCCTTTCCCGTTCCTTCTGGTCCTGAGCCGTGCTTGCTTGGTGCTGTTTGCCTTGACGACACGAAGCCCATGAATTCTGAGCAGGCCCTTTTGGTGCTGCAGAATACAAAATAAATCATTATAATTAACGTCGCAGAAGGGCAAAGCTATTAAAGAACAGATTTCTCCTTCAAAGTCCTCCAGCAGGAGGAGGGAGATCGTGTTCAAGTTGTTTTATTTAACCAGCATCATTTATCCAGAAACTTAATAAAATTCTTCCATGCATGTGAGGGAAACTTCAACAAAATCCCATCCTGTTATGAGTTCTCTTTCTCATGTTGGAATCGAGGAAGAGCCCAGGATCCCCCCAGCATTCACTGATGTTAAAGGGGAGATTTCCCATTCCCATTTGTTCTGGTATCTTCTAGGACCTGAAAGTGAAGCTGATCTTTTCTGTTCTTCCTCTCCGCAGTCTCACCGCAAATTCTCTGCTCCCAGGCATGGCCACCTGGGCTTCCTCCCCCACAAGAGAAGCCGCCGCCACCGAGGGAAGGTGAAGACGTGGCCTAAGGATGATCCCAGCAAACCAGTCCACCTGACGGCTTTCCTGGGCTACAAAGCTGGCATGACACACACTGTGCGGGAGGTGCACAGGCCTGGGCTCAGTAAGGCTTGGCTGACAGAAATGGGGAGCCACATCCAGAAGGGAAACGAGGGAGCAGCCTTGTTGGTGGGAAAGGCTGCTCCAGGGAATGAGTGGTGAAGCACGTAGCTTCCAGGCTATCTCCTGTAATGGTGTCCAGATTTTGGATGGCCAAAGGCCACCTCATGGCTGGTGGAGGGGTTGTTTAGAAGGGTGAGAGCTCACCTCATGGTAAGCTGAGTCTGGGGGTTCCTGGAAAGCCCTGACACCAGTATGGTGACTGGTGGTTTGTGGATCCTGCTGACAGCAGGGCCCTGTGGCGTAATTACCTGCCAAACCCTGGGCTCATAATGTTGCCCTCGGGGATGCCCACAAGATTGGAGCCAAACTCCAGAGCAGGAACCATCCAATGGGAATGGCTTCCCCCAGCCTGGGGCCAGGGGGTTAGGGTGTGCTGGGCCACAGGGTCTAACCCATTCGGTGTCTGAGGATCAAACTGGGGAGATGGGAAGGGCTGGGGCTGGCTGTGAGAGCTGAGAGTGGCCTTGCTCCCAGCACGCTGCTTGCTCGCCGTAACGGCATGGACCACGAATGAGCTGATCCCAGACGATGCTGAACACCACTTCCCTTTGCTGTCTTGCAGAGATCTCCAAAAGGGAGGAGGTGGAGGCCGTGACCATCATTGAGACCCCCCCAATGGTGGTGGTGGGGGTTGTGGGGTACATAGATACACCCAAGGGCTTGAGGAATTTCAAGACTATTTTTGCTGAGCACATCAGCGATGAGTGCAGGCGGCGCTTCTACAAGAACTGGTAGGTGCCTGTGCGGCTGGGGAGGGTCACTGGGGCTCTGCAAGCGGGAAGACCCTCGGAGATCTTCCCCACATTCACCCTCCGTGATGCCCAGCATTGCAAACAGCTCAGCTACCGGCAGCTGGCTCCGTGTGGAGTGAAACTGCTGTTTGTTTAGTCATGCACAGAGATGCTGGGAGTCAGCATATGCATATGGAAATTTATTCTAATAGTTGGACTAAGCTGTCTCCACAGTATCATATGGCAGCGCGTGCTGCAGGCTCCTTCTCCTCTGTGTAGGTCGGGCCCCTCTACTCTTCATTAAACTGAAATACTTGAGCTGGGGGACCAAATGAAGGGAGTAAAACCAGATTTGTCGGGGGAAAAACTGCTGCTGAATGAGACCCCTGGCCCTTGTAAACATCAACGCCCCAGATCCCACACTAATGGAGAGGAAAATGGAAACATGAGTTTCGTAACTGTAGGACTCGTGTCTCCTGTGAAAGTGCCATTGAGATCCACCCACCACGTGCCTCTGATCCCTGTTGGAGGCTGTTTTCTCCTTTTTCTACTTAGCTCTGATTTTTGCGCTGGTATTTCGATGGCACCGAGCCAGTCAGTGGGAGACAACTGGATTTCTCATGCAAAACGGGTTTGAATTCCCAGCCTGTCTTTGCAGCTCATTAATTCACTTTCCTCTTCCCACCTCAAAGCCCTGTGTGGTGGCCCCAGCAGCCAGGCGAGGTTTGGGTGCCTCCAGGTACCTTGTGCCTCTGGGGAAGTGTCTGATGAGGTGATCTGTCCTCCCACGCTGCGCTGTCTCAGAGCACGGGAGCACTTCACCGTTCAGCTCTGCTGGATGTTTTACCCTTCTTGTCGTAGGCACAAGAGCAAGAAGAAGGCGTTCACCAAGTACTGCAAAAAATGGCAGGACGAGGATGGCAAAAAGCAGCTGGAGAAGGATTTTACGGCTATGAAAAAGTACTGCAAGGTCATTCGTGTCATTGCACACACGCAGGTCAGAGCCTCACCCCGGGGGTAAGGCGGGCTCGGGGTCTGCCCCAGCTTGGGACCGTGGTGAGGGCCTGGGAGCTGGGATCACGGGGGTGTCTTGAAGGGGTCACAGAGGGCTGGGGAGGCAGACGCCGGTCAGAGGGTGTGAGACAGGGCGTGCAGGCAATGGGAGGTGCTGGCTGACCTTTCCAGCTGCCTTCTGACATCAGCCCTGTCCCTCCGAGCTGGGCTCAGCAGATGTCCCTACTGGGGTGTTGCAGGAGGGGGCTGTGGCTGGGACACGCTGGGGAGCCCGCCCACGCCGTGGAGAGCAGACTTTGCGCAGAGGCTCAGCAGGTGGTGAGCCCTGTGATCCCTGAGCAAGGGATCTTAGGCCCCATGATCACCTCAAATTAGCAACTGGTGTCAAGTGTTTGAGCAAAAATAACCCAGGGGCAGGCCCAGTTTTGCCAGATGCTGATTGCTGGATACACAGGGCGCGTTTTCGTGCTGATCCTTGGGGTTAACAGCGGCTTTGGAGTCTGGGGCAGAGCTAAGCTGGCTCAAGGCTTCCCTCATGTCTGGCACAGGCACTCAAAGTCCCACTGGGGTGATTTGGCAGGGGCTTTGCACAGAGAACTGGGACTGGGAGAGAGCAGAGGCACCTCTTGGTGGGAACTAGAAATAGCTGCTCAGTCTGGAAGCAGAGAGCTGCATCCTGGCTGGTCACAGTGCTCAGCCTCATACAGTGCTCTGGTGCTGGGCTCCTCTGGGACGATTACCATGGCTGTTACCACTGTGCTTAGCTCTTAGGTTAGGACGAGGCTGGCCTGCAACATGAGGTGCAACATTTTCCCCTAATGCACTGTCTAATGCAGATGAAGCTGCTCCCGCTGCGGCAGAAGAAGGCCCACGTGATGGAGATCCAGCTGAACGGCGGGACGGTGGCCGAGAAGATCGACTGGGTTCGTGAGAAGCTGGAGAAGCAGGTTTCGGTGCACAACGTCTTCAGCCAGAATGAGATGATCGATGTCATTGGCGTGACCAAGGGGCACGGGATGAAAGGTACAGAGCAGGGAGACCCTTACCAAGGGCTTGGTTCTGTCCTCATGTGGCACCACCCAAAAGGTAGTGTTGAGGGAGGGGAGTGTTAGCCAGGCTGAGAACCCAACTTGTTGCACAGGGAGCAGCGAAGAGCCTCTGTCCCTCAACCATGACATGCAGCTCTGTTGTAGCAGAGTTTGGTTTCCTTAACCTCAGTAAAAGCTGTGTTTGCTGCGCTGAGTCCTCCCAGGAGGCTCAGAGGCGCTGTGAGTGCGTCAAGCCATTGCACGTCTCACAAACCCCACGTATGGGGAGGTGTGGGTGTTTCTGTGCGTGGATGTGCTCGGCAGGAACACATCACAGGCTGATCAGAGCAGTGAGAACGGTTCTGTGCTCTGGCCTCTCACGGTGGTGACAGCTCTTGGTCTCCTTCCAACGCGGCGTCTTCCCAGAATGATGAGACTCTCCCCTCCCCAGCACTCAGACACCAGCCCTGGATCTCCCTGGTGTTCTCACCGCCCTGTCTGCTCACACTTCCAGGGGTGACGAGCCGTTGGCACACCAAGAAGCTCCCCAGGAAGACACACAAGGGCTTGCGCAAAGTTGCCTGCATCGGAGCCTGGCACCCGGCCCGGGTTGGCTACTCCATCGCTCGGGCTGGCCAGAAGGGCTACCACCACCGCACGGAGCTCAACAAGAAGGTATGGCCCAGCTGGGCCCCTCAGAGCCCCTTCTGAGGAGAACTGAGGAGTCACCTTCTCAATTCCCTTTCTGTTCCTAGATTTACCGCATCGGCCACGGGATCCACGTGGAAGATGGCAAAGTGGTGAGGAACAACGCCTCGACCAACTACGATGTCACGGAGAAAACCATTACGCCTTTGGTAAGGGCTGAGGCGGTGACAGGGCTGTGACTGGCCCTGGCTTTGGGAATCTGAGCCAGGGAAGTAATTCCTTGGCTGGACACAGCTGCATAGGAAATGATTTGATGAAATTCACTGCAAGAAATGCAGTGATTCCTTTGCTTATGTTTTGGACATGGCAAACCATCTCTGTGAGGTGTTTTTTAGGCCCTTTGGTAGGTGCAAACATTTAACTTTCAGCTGATAACTTGGGCAGGAACTGAGAACTTTGTTTAAAAATAAGTATAAATGTCATTAAAACCTGATACTTAACAGAGAAATGCTGGATACCTGGTTTAAAAAATCACTTTTACCTATTAAAAACTGTTAACTTGGGAATCTAGCCAGCTCTGCTCTCTCTTTACCTGCATCCTCCAGGGAAGGAAGCAGCGTTGCTGGTTCCCCAGCTCTTAGGGGGTGCTGCTTAGCTGGGATCATGCAGGCGGTGTGGCTGACATGCTCTGCTGGTCCTGAGCAGGCAACCTGAAGGGTGCAGGGTGGGTTTAGCTGTAAGGACCAGCAGTCACTACCTTCTCCTTCCCTAAAAGATGTCACCTGTGGGCACGTCTGCTCCCCTCCAGCTCTCCTGCCTGCCAACCCTCTCTCTGCCTCTCCCCACAGGGCGGCTTTCCTCACTATGGAGAGGTCAACAACGACTTCCTCATGCTGAAAGGCTGCGTCATGGGCACGAAGAAGCGTGTGCTCACCCTCCGTAAGGTAAGAGCACAGCCAGAGCAGGGGCAGGATGAGCTGTAGCTCTCCACAAACAGATTCACATGGAGGATGCCACTGCCTCCAAATGTTGGGCAGGGAGACTGGCCGGGTCCCTGCTGCTCTGTTGCAGAAGGTGTGTGGCATACGAGTGTGTGTCTCTCTGGAGACAGGAGCTGTGAGCCCTTGAGGGCTGCAATGGGAAACCTTGGCCATCAGCAGATGGCCAGGAAATGAAATGCTAAGTGAAGAGCAGGCTCCTTTCAGAGCTGCTCTGCAATCCAAGGCATCACCTTGCACCTGAGCACCGGGGCGTTTCTCTGAGAAAGCAGACTCTGGTGGATATATTTATCTAATTGATGTACCTGGGATACTTCAACCCTGCTTCCCTCAGAGCAGATGTCTGGATTTCTCTGTAAAGATAAGCCTGATGCACTGTGACTCCTCTTTTCCAGTCCCTTCTGGTGCACACAAGCCGCCGGTCTCAGGAAGCCATTGAACTCAAATTCATTGATACCACTTCCAAGTTCGGCCACGGCTGCTTCCAGACAGCTCAGGAGAAGCGGGCTTTCATGGTGAGTTACGCTCGGCGCCAGCTCCAGCTCCTGGGCCACGCTCGCAGCCGGGGCTAAAGCAACCGATTGCCTCCAACCCAGCATCTGCTTCTCCATACCACAGCAGCCAAACGAGTGATCGGGAGCGTCCTGCGTAAAAGCCAGGCATGGCTTCAATTCTCACAGCAGATACTATGCTAAGGAAGAACATGATGGTTGTGTGAGTGATCCAAGACAACCCAACTAGCAAATAAAGCACCATATGGCCACGGTGAATGTTCCATTCACCACGGGATGTTTTAAACAAGCAGTTAACTTGGCAGGCTCTGCGTTGGACATATGGTCCCTTTCACCCCTAATTGAGCTCTGCTTTGATTTCTTTGGAGTGATTTCTAACTTTCTTGTTCTCAAGAGGAAAAGGTTGGGTCAAATTCAGACCCAGATTTGGGATATTTTTTTATGTCAGGAAGCTTTCAAAAAGGCCAAGCGGTGTCTTTTTTCTTAAATCCAAGGCAAAAAAAAAAAAAAAAGAAAAGAAAACTTAAATAAATCCAAAGCAAGCAGAGTTTCTTGCAGCCTACACCAGGTTGGAGCGCAAGCCCGAGTGCGAAATTGAGGAAGCCTTAAGTAAGCCAGGCCTTCAGCTAGCAGAAATGCGAGAAACAACTGCCTGGATACCACGCAGCCGTAAACCGTGTCTGGATCTGGCCTGTCAGCTAGAAATCCCACGTGAAGCTGGCTAAGCCTCCTTAGCCCTGGGCTGGGGGATTGGCTGTGCCGTGCCTTTGCAGAGCTCTTTAGAGGTTAAGCTGTTTTCCTTTATCTCGGCGTTAGGAGCTTGTTCTGTTCTGCTCTTGCTGGCGCTGCAAGTCCTGAGTAGCTGTGATGTGGATCTTGGTGACAGGAGGTGGTTTTACCGGCTTGCAGATGTTTTCTTTGCCATTTTTGGCTGTGGGGTGAGAGTTTCCCCCCACGTAGAATGTGGCAAAGCTTCCCATTCGGCTGGAAGTAGAGGCACATAAGTCATACTTGCAGGCCAGGTATGTCTGCCACTGAGACCTCTCCTCTCTGCTCTCTTCCAGGGCCCGCAGAAGAAGCACTTGGTGAAAGGGAAGCCAGGGGTGCAGGAGGAGCCATAAGGACTGAGATATGCAAGGCTGCCTCACTGGGCACGTTCAATAAAGGGGCTTTGAGCCATGCCTGCTCCCTGTCTTCCTTCTGAAGGGGCATCTTGCCTGTCTTCAGCGCTGCCTGTGTGCAGCAGTGTCCTCCAGTTCCTCAGCAGGTGGGGATGGGACAAGCAGCACTTGAAACTGGGACTGACTGGGCCAGCCAAGTGTCTACTGTGCCCTCTGGATCCTCCCTTTCCCTTGCTCAGGGGATTTTTTCCCACTGCCTGCATTCCCCCAAACCACAGATTTCCTCTCGCAGAGGAGAGCAGAGCAGGTACCAGCACTTCTGCCCCAGTTTCTGCTGGGAAAGCAGAGCCTCCCCCTTACCTGCCTCTGCACAGCCTCCCACACACACACCCAGGTGCTCCTTTTGCTGAGCTCAAAGTGTGACCCAGGGACTTCTCTCTGTGCAAAGCCCCACGATCGCGGCCGGCGTCCTCAGCACACGTGGGAACTTGTGCACAATAAGATGGCTGCTAGGTACGACTGAGCAGTGATGGATTTATTCAGATTTTGGACTCATTTCCCACCCATTTCCTTGCAGTCCAGCTGCCTGCGGGGAGGGTGCGATGTGTCTTGGAGCTGCGGTGCCTCGGATCAGCGGTGATCACAACTCCTGCAGTGCAGAACCGCTGCGGGCGTCCCGCACCCTCTTTGGGAACCAGACAGTGGAAAGCCCAGCCCTCCGCTGGTCCAGAGCCGCCTCCTTGCCCAGGAGCCCTGGGAACCTGGTAGGAGGTGCATGAAATCCTTGGGTCTCCAGCAAACCCCTTGCCCTGGGGTCTGGTTCTGCTCTGAGCGTGTGCTTTTGCAGTATTTAAGGAGGCTCATCTCCAGAAATGCTGAGGATGAGATGAACCAGGAAGCTGAGACCCCAGGGCACGGCCATGGGTGCAGTCAGTGGCTCCGTGTCCCAGCGAGGTCTCGGAGCTCAGCGCAGCGTCTCTGCCCCTGCCCGTGGGGCCGTGCTTCAGAGCCTCCTCTCCCCCTTGGCTGGGAGGTCCCTGGGCTGATCCCCGCTGGGTGGCTGAGGATCCAGGCCAGAGCGCATGATGGGAATGATGAGATCGTCCATGTTCGGCATCACCAAAATTTTCTGAAGGAAAGAAGAATCCAGAATAACCAGTAAGTGGTTTGGAATGCCACTGGTGTGGCTCATGAAGTGGCCTTGGCAGGAACCACAGAAACCTGGGTCAGAGACTGGGGCTGTGAGCAGAAGGTCCTGGGCTCTGTCCCCTCATCAGCCACTGGACCTGGCCCTAGAGGACCACAGGCTCTGGATATCTCAGGTGGGGACCAGCAGGAGCAGTTTTAATTCGCCTGGTTTACCCAAATGTACAGCTTCAAGGGTGGCCGTGGCAGGGAGCAGCACTTTGGGGGGATTTGGGTACCTAAATATCTGTGGGGATACTTCTGCTCTTTGACCAGAGGTCTCAAAGGTGAGAGGCTAAAAACAAGCCAGTGATGGTCAATCTCCCAGACACCCCCAAACTGGTGTGGATGTGTGAATTCAGCCCTTGAATGCCCCTGGTTTGGGCCAGGGCTGCACATACTGGGAGGAGATGGCTTTTCCTCAAGCACTTCTGATGCCCAGAGCACCAGCCCTCTCAGATGTTGGCTTTTTGTAGAGATAACCCTGCCCAACCCTGATTATCCCTCATTGCACCAATGCCCACGCTCCAGCAGGGTTTGCTGAGCCCTTTAACAGAGCAGGCACCTGAAATTCGTGCTGCAGCTTCTTCTCGATCCACTCGGTGACGTGGAGGAACGTCACCTCCCTCTCGCCCAGTTTTGGGAGCACCTTCAGCTCCAGCTGGGGTGGGACTCGGAAGCTGTACCTGCGAGGGCAGAGGAAAGAGGCAGAAAGCAGCATGTCCCGAAACCCCAGAGCTCCTGGGTTGAGCTGCAGGGAGCAAGGGGAGCTGGGAGGAGGATGAGGATGGGGATGGAGGAAGGAGAGCTGGTACCAGACACGGTCCGTCGGCGGTCCTGCACCTCCACCGTCAGCAGCAGCGGCGTGTTGGAAACCTCCTCAATCTTCTTTTTGAGGTGCCCGCCAGCTCCTGCACCTCCACCGTCAGCAGCAGCGGCGTGTTGGAAACCTCCTCAATCTTCTTTTTGATGAACTCGTTTTCGGTGGCCTTCTGGAAGTACTTGGACTTGGCGATCTTATCCACAAAGCGCAGGATTTTCCGGCTC